CCCCCCCCCACCACCAGCATGATGTGTCCTTGGGAGGCACTTAGCACAGTGCCTGGCGCAGAGTAAGGCTCAGTAAAGTTTCCTCACTTGCAACTATAATTTTAAAAGCCCCCTGAGGGCTCTGTTTGGAGCTAAGCCAGAGGGTGCAGCAGAGGGAGAGAACAGGTGCTCCTCTGTCAGTCTGTCAGGCCATGGCTAAAGGGAGGGGCCCGGAGGAAAGCCAAGGACCTGGAGGAGCGTGCTCTGGGCTCCGTGGCAGCTGAGAAGCCAAAGAAAACAGGGACCAAAGAAACCTCGCTGTTGTTCCTGCTCTGCTCCCAGGTTCCTGCTGGAACAGCTCCTCCCCTAAGTCTCTCCTCTTTAGGCAGGAGGTCTGTCCTTTCTGCCGTGGGTCCTGGGGCCCTGGCCCCGGCAGAGCATGACAGATATATACACAGGATTTTCATCTGGGCTTGGGGCTCAGGGCTAAGGGCAGGCCTGGCTCAGACTGGAACGATGACCCTCATGACCCCAGAGGCCTCTGGGGGCCAGGCCCCTTCACAGTGGAACTTGCCTCCAGTCGGCACCCTTTCACCTTCTATCTCATCCTCTCTCCCCAGGCACTGTCTCCATGAATCATAGGTCCCAAACTCCATCGTCTTGGAGAGGGCAGGACTCGGCAGTGCTCACAGGAGGTTGGGCCACCAAGGGAAGCTCCTACTTCAGGATTTGAGCCCAATCATTTACAGCTAATGAAGGGCTTTGGGCTCCACTGTGTGATTGAATTCTGAGCTACCTGTGAGGAACCCAGACTCAGAGGTGACTGCCTTGCCCAGGGTCACACAGTGACCCACGGGGTTGTCAGGAATGGGCCTGGTGTGGCTGAAGAAGGAGACCCCACCTGTCAAGACTGCTCAGAGTGGGCAGCTGGTTACGTTTCCTAGCCCTGTTCTTGAAGCCCTTCCGTCTCTCTCTAACCATCAGGGTCACTCTGTCCCCAGGTTGTCACAAGAAACTATTGGAGCTACTATGTCCTGGAGTTGTTTTTGCCCTGCCCTGCCAGCCCCAGAGGAATGCTTCCCTGGCACCTCTCTGGGCTGGGAGATGGGTCCCCCCCTTTGTGGCAGGGAGCATGACAGTCTGTCAGGGAGAGACTCTCCTCCTCTCCTGATGTAGGAATTCCCTGGGAGCAACTGAGGGTCGGGGGCAGAAATGGTAGCTTAATTGGCAGCAGGTGATGCCCCGGGGGCTCCTCATTCATTCATTCCACAAAGATTTATTAAGCGCTTACTATGTACCAGGCACTGTTCTAGGCACTGGGGATACAGTCATGAGCTAGCAGACAATGCCTCTCCCTTGTGGAGCTAATATTCTAGTGAAAAGAGACAGACAATAAAGAACAGACATATGTAAATCATATAGTACGACAGAATCTGTAAGTGCTATGGAAAAATAGACTACATTAAGGGGGACTGGGCATGCTGGAGTAGGAGTGTGGGTTCTTGGAAATTTTAAATGGGGTGTCAGTGTGGGTCTTATTGAGAAGGTGACATCTGAGCAAGGCCTTGGAAGAGGAGAGGGAAAGAGCCATGTGCATATCTGGGGAAGAACATTCCAGGCAGAGGGAGCAGCCAGTGTTGCTGGAGCAGGGGGAGCAAGGGAGAGAGTGGGAGCTAGAACAGAGGTGGTGGAAGTGGGCAGAGCTTGTGCACCACTGAAAGGCCTGCAGGATTCCCTGGACAGAACGAGGAAGCCATCGAGGGGAGGACTAGCGTGGTCCAACAAAGTTTTTAGCATGACCCCTCGGCTGCTGTGTTGAGAAGAGACTGGAAGGGCAGGAGTAGAAGCAGGGAGACCAGTAGGCGCCTCTCCAGGGAGAGATGCTGGTGGCCTGGACCTGAGGCGGGGTGGTGCTGAAGGGGATGGCAATGGGATTCTGGATCCCTTGTGAAGGCAGACCTGACAGGATCCCCTGATGAAGCTCTCCTGGCATGTGAGAACGAGGAGTCAAGGATGACTCGAACTCTTTGGCCTGAGCAGCTGGAAAGATGGAGTTGCTATCAGTTGAGATGAGAGGGCTGTGGGAGGAGCAGGTGTGGGCAGAAGAGCAGGAGGTCAATTTTGGACATGTGGAGTGTTCGGTGTTGTCCCACACCCTGGAGGTCCCTGCCCTGACTTCCCAACATGGCGCTACAGCCAGGACAAGCAGACCAAAAGGGACCGTTCTTTGCTCTCTTTGGAGGCCACACAGCCCAGGATGCCCATTCTGGCCGGGTTGGCAGTGGGAATTTGCCATCACAGGCCACCTTGGTTGAGCTTCTTATTCAGTGTTGAAATCCCCTCTACACCATTCCTAACAGCAACTCTGGGGAGCTTATGACATGCCAGCCACCCAAGTCTGTCTCCTGGCACCTTGGGCTGTATTGACCATTTCTAAGTGGTGGAAGAAACAGCACTTATTGGCAAATGAGCATTTATTGAGTGCTTACTATATGCAGAGCACTGTGCTAGACAAGACAAATGAGGGAGGATAGCTAGGAGAATGCCATCCAAGAACTGGAAGGAGCCCTGCCCCGAAGGGCTTACAGCCTGGCTGGGAAGCATTGCACATATACAGAATCACCGCTGAGAGATACAGAACAACATCAAAGCAACATTAGTAGGTACACAGTCATCCGGCACAAAGTGGAAATGTGGGAATGGATGCTGCTGGGACTCAGTGGTCATCCACCTCCTCCTTTTGGCTCAGAGGCTTCTTTGTCCCCAGCTTGGGGAGCTAGAGGCCTCTCCACCTTCCTCCATGTGCCCTGCCTCTGTCTGGTTTGGGGTGTGTCTGACCTCCACCCTCCTCCAGACTGAGTGCTCTCTGCAAAGGCAGAAACCAGCCAAATGTTTTGTCATTTTTTTACCTACCCTGCCGTGGCCCTCCCCCAGGCCCTGTGTCCACAAGACAGCAGGCTGGGCTGGACAGGCCCCATTGTGTGTTCTGGCTTCTGGCAGGGGCCTAGGACTTGCCTCAGCACAGACCTGGTCTCCTCTGACTTTTTAGTGGAAAGATCATGGGATTTTGAATAAGAAGGCCTGAGTTCAAGTCTTGGTTCCACTACATACTGCGGTGTGACTTTAGATGAGTCTCTTAGCCTCAGTTTCTTAATCTATGAAATGGGGAGAATAGTATTTGCTTTGCCTATCCTACAGGGTTGGGAGATAATCACAGTACAGTACAGGGCTGGGCACAGTGGGTCCTGATTGAGCCTTTGGTAAGAGCAGCTCTGCTCTGAGTCCATGGTGGTCCTGGCTTGGAATTATCCAGAATGACCACTTAGTTGCCCAGATAGGAGGGTCAGAATCGCCTATGCTGTCAAACCTCTTGTCTCAAGTTACCTGCCACATTTCTTAAAGAGTCACGTGTCACTTAGTGACGCGTCGTTAGGCAATTTTGTCCTTGTGTGAACATCATAGAGTGTAAAAAACTAGACGGTATAGCCTACTACACACCTAGGCTATGTGGTACGAATCTTATGGGACCACCGTTGTATATGGGGTCCACTGTTGACTGAAATTCATTGTTGACGGAAACATCATTATGCCAAGCATGACTGGGGCCACTGTCCTTCCCTAACCTGTCTGAAGTTTTAGGAGGATTAAATGAGCTAGCACTTGTCAAGCATCCAGCACAGAGGCTGGGGGACAAGAGATGCTTAATAGGTGTCAGTTCCTCTCCACCCCCATCACTTTGAATCTTGCTTTGACCTCTGACTTCAGTGACCCCAATCTGGGCAAATGGGGCTGGCAGTGGCAGGATCTCACATTTAGTTTTGAGGGAGATGGAATGCAGGAAGTGGAACAGACAGAGAGAGAAATTCTTGGCAACTTCTAGAGGGATCTGTTGGGGTGAGACGGAGTGGGGATGAGGGGCCTGAGACATCCCGGCTTGGCTCGCAGCACAGCGTCTCGCTGCCTCTGAACTTCCAGGGAAAGGATACTCAGCTACCAGGAGAACAGCCCCCCAGGTCACTTTGGTCTCTGACTCAACCCCTCCCCCAGTAGGGAGGCCAGGTCTTTGGGGGTTTGAGAGAATCACGGCCATAGCACCTATGGCCCAGGGAAACTTTTTCTGACCCTAAAGGGAGTTTTGGTTAAGGAAGACAGAAAAGACGTAGAGAAAGAGACAATTACAGAGACGTTCCTCATAAACAGTCCATCTCCGACGGGAGTGGAGGGGAGGAAGGGGCTGGAGACTCTGGTGCACGGTGGGTGCTTGGTGCAGTGTGGGACAGACCCAGATAAAACCTTGAAAGCATGGAGGCAACAGAGATCCTGGAGAAGGGAGCTCAAGGTATGATTCTTAGGTTAGCTATGCAGCAGCTGGAGAAGTGGGTAGAGAATGGATGGTCTGGGTGGTGGGAGGAAGGAAGGTGGAGAAGACCCATTGTGCACTTGCGGTCAGGAAAAGTTAAGGGGCTGGATCAAGAAGGGGCCATCCCTAAGCAAATCTCCTTCTGCCTGCACCTTGGGGCCCCAGGGCTCTCCTCTGCTTTGACAACCAACTAAAGGAGGTAAAGGAGGCCCAGTGTCAGGTCCCTTCTGTGTTCTCCCCCTAGGAAGCAGAAATAATGAAATGATTCCAATAATGCGTGGTAATGGTATGAGGAATTACAGTTCACACAGCATCTTGACATGCATCATCTCACTTAATCCCAGTTAATCTCATTTGAGAACCATTGCACTGGCCTGGAAATTTAGAAGCCCGGGTTCTAGACACAGACCTGCCTCTGCCTCGACAAGTTGTTTCTCTTCTCTCGTCCCAGCGCTAGGCTACTCTCTCCGTAATAACTGTCCTGTGGTAGGAGCAGGAAGAGAGTGAAGGAGGGGAGGAGAGATTCCTGGGGAGGAAGAGCTGCTGCCTGGGGTTGGGGGCCGGAGGTGGCATGGGTGATGGAGGGGTGTTGCCTGCTGCCTGTGGGTGCCTGCCTGACCGCCTTGCCCAGCCAGCTGTAGGTGTTCACTGGGTGAGAGGGCTCACTTGCGAAACTGAGTGTCTCCTTTCAGGAGTGTCTAGTTGCAAATCTCCCCCTCTCCTGAGACAAGGGCCAGAGGCCCACAAAAGGTTTTTGTTTTCTCTGTTACAGTGGGAAGCTAATCTCTAGGTTGGAAACAGCCCCCCCCCCCCCATGGGGGTTGCATGCACATGTTTGGCATGCGTGCACACACACACACACCCCTGCTTCCTGTTTGGGAGAGGTCCTCCTTTAGGGCAGAAAGGAGGTCCTTGTTCATCCAACTTTCCTTTTTTCCAGAGGCCACTTCTCCGGGGGCCTGTCTCTGGTTGATGCCTCCCTGCCTCTAGCAACGGGTCCTGGCAAGTCTTAGGGCCCAGCGTTGGGGTGTAGGTGAACTTTTGAGGAGAGGCAGGGTAGAGGATGGAAGTACCTTCTCAAAGCAGCCTCCAGGATACCCCCTTCCCTGCTCCTGGGGATGACTGGTGGCAAGGACTCATCCATTGCAGAAGAAGTGGATTTATTGCAGGTGGAGAAGGAAGGGGTCATGGCGGGAGTGAGAGGTCGCCCACCAGGGCACACTGGCACCACCACAGGCACACCTGTGCACACTCAGGACCATGCACAACCCTGCACATGAGGACAGAGGCACTCGGGGATGAACACAGACCAGGCTTGCACACGAGCAAAACTCTTGGGCCATTCCCAGACCGACCCCCAAGGCGGGTTCCGTACTCTTACCCCCTACCCCACCTAGTACCGGGAGCAGGCTCTCCAGAACCTTCTCTGCCTGCTCACTCGCCCTCCCTCCCCGGCTCGGTCCCCAAGTCCCCAGCTCCCTGCAAGGGGCCAGAGGGTCGACCGCGCGCCACGTGCAGCCTCAGGACAGGGAATCTGCCAGGCTCACCGCCTCCCCCGCCGCCCTGGCTGTGGCCGCGCACGTCCTGGCAACAGCTACTCTGCACTGGGGGCCAGCTTCGGACCTGGGGAGAGTCGGGGCGGGGACGACCCCTCCGCCTCGGGGCGGGGG